AGGCAGCGGGACCCCACACGGTTGACTTCACAGTAGGAGTCTCGGACACGGCGGCTTGAGAAACACCCCAGGGATGTGTGCATGCGTGCCCAAAATCCTGAGAAGGGGGTGGAGAAGGGATGGAGGAGCGGCCCTCCGTCCTGGGGGGTGCCTGCTCACTTTCTCTCTCTGGCCACACCCCGGTCCCTTCTTCTCCGTTCTCCTCCTGGGATTTTGGGCATGCACACATACGTGCCCAGTATGATTTTCAAGCACCAGCTCCCAGGACTCGAACCGTGGTCGGTCACGTGGGAGTCCAGAGCCGTAACCAGCACACCACCTGCTGGTCCCAGCTGAGGGCCCCGTGCTGACTGAGTCCCAGCCTGAAGGGTGGGGTGTAGACTGCAGTGGCCTGGCTATCTCTGAGCCTTCTTTGTGATGAACTTCCTAAGAAGTCTTTGCTCTCCACGTGCAAGGCTGGGCTCACTTGAGGTAGCAATGCCGCATCTTCACGGTGGCCTGGTGGCCCTTGATGGCAAATACCACGAGTGTGGTGATCATCGAGGTGACCAGGTGGAGGAGAGCCACGCCGAAGGCGTCGCCGACGCAGTTGTTGGAGCGAGGGATGCAGGAGCCGATCGCGGTGAAGCTGCCAAACCCAGAGCTCAGGGAAAAGAAGAGCTGCTTCCCTGTCCGGCGCCACACTTCCATGGAGTACAGGGCTGTCATCTGTGGGGAGGCGTGTCACACAGGGAGGGCGGGAAACCTCCATGAGGCGGGACGGAAGGGAGGGGGGCACTAGGAGGGCCTCCGCTGGACTGACGACCACCTGTCCCTGACAGCCCCCATCTGGATTAGGAAGTTAAAGGATGGGCACCAGCAGATGGCATAATGGTTACGCCATTGGACTCCCACGAAGTGGACTGCGGTTCGAGTCCAGACACAGCGGCTTAAAACTCATGCCAGGCGCATGTGCGTGCGTGCCCCCCGAGAGGAGATTGGAGGAGATTTCTCACTTTCTGTCTCTGTCTCTCTGGTGAGTGCATGTACCCTATAACAAAAATCTCTCTCCCAAAAAAAAGGAAAATTAAAGAGTGGAGAGATGCCTCACCTTGGCGGCCAACAAAGTCTTGATGCCAAAAGTCGCACCCTCCAGCAGCAGCGACCAGACGAGGAGACCGGAAAGGATGAGGTAGGGGAAAAGCACCGAGACATACAGCATCTGAGGGTAAAGGGGGTTCGCAGAGGGTCACAGGGCAGGAGCTGGGGAGGGTGGGATCGAACTGCTGGGAAACGTGTCCGACGGGCATCCCGTGAGGAGGTGGAAGGGGCCCGTCAGGCCGGTGGGTTGGGGGGCTTACCTTCCCCGTGAATCTGGGCCCTTTCATCATGGAGAGGCAGGTTAGGAGCCAGCTCACGGAGAGACACAGGCTGAGGTGCCACACGGGCAGCCCACCGTCCTCGATGTCACCTGCGGCCTTCAACACCCTCCGGTACCAGAAGTAGGGGGTTCCGCTCACACTCAGGATCTGGGGGGAACGCAAGCCCGGGGACCCTCCTGCTTCGGTCTACCCACCCCCTAATTCAAATCCCACGGCAGCCTCTCCCCTCCGCCCTCCCCGCTCTCGGTGCGTCCGCCTCCTCCATCCCCACGCCTGGTCTCGGCCTCCACGCCCTTCTCTTCTCACCTCCATTACTCGAGTTCCGCGGTTCCGGGCACAAGGCCCACGGCAGTGGGGACTGGAAGGACTGAACCAGGTAGAAGAGGCTCCAGGACACGATGACACTGTAGTACAGGGCCACGACGGCGCACACCTGGGGCCAGCCAGAGTTGGGACAGGGGAGGGGGCGGAAGGGCGGCAGCTGGACTGAGCATCGGGGCTGCGGAGCAGGGGCGGGGTGCGGATAGGGAGTGAAGGGTAAGCCGGGAAGCCCAGGATCCTCACCATGAAGCTGGCATAGCCCAGACCACCAAGCCAGGGGCTGACGGCCTTCCACACGCCTACACTGCCCTGCTGCAGCCTCTGGCCAGCGGCCAGCTCCAGGCAGAGGAGCGGAATCCCCACCAGAAACAGCATGAAGGTGTAGACGAGGATGAAACTGCCTGTGAAGAGGATTCAGGAAGGGCTCTGAGATGCGCCTGGAAATAGGCTCGCGACAGCGACATCCCTCGGGTCCACAGGCACCCGGGGTGACCAGTTTCCGCTCCCTCATGGTCTTGGTACCCGGTTGGACTCCCAGGTCCTGGAAGGCCCAGTGCCTCATTTCCACTCCTACTCCTGACCCTGCCTCTGCCCGCCAAGTCCTGGCCCAGTCAGGGTCAGGATCTCGGACTCTGGGATTCTCTGTCCCTACCTATCTCCAGGCCTTGGGGCTCCTCGCCCCCTCAGGTCCCTGCGTCCTGGACCAGGCTTACCCCCTCCGCCGTGGAAGCACAGGTAAGGAAAGCGCCAGACGTTGCCCAGCCCGATGGAGAAGCCCACCGGGGCCTGGAGGTACCCCAGCCTGTTGGCCCAGGAGGGGCGCTCGCTGCGGGGTTCACCCTTGGACTGCCCTTGGTCGTTGGTCTCCAGCTGGCTTTTGTCCTCTCCCTCAACCCAGAGGTATGAAGACAGAGCGTCCAGGCCCTGTGTCCTCTCAGCCCACTCGGCAGCCCGCGGCAGCCCTGCCTTCAGGGATGGGGAAGACAAGGCAGTGGAAGGCAGGGACTGTGCAGCCGGCCGGGACTGCGCAGCCTGGGTCTCCATGTCTTCGTTCACAGTCTCTAGCTCACATTTCTGCAGGGATGGGGCCACGTTCCTTGTCCACCAGGAGGCCATGGAAGACCACAGACTTTACCTGCGTGAGACGAGGAGAGACAAAGGTAATACAGGAACCCCTGGGGCCTCCCCAACCCAAACATGTGTGGATAAGAACATGGAGGCTTGGCACCAGCGGATGGCGTAATGCCTGTGTCACTGGACCTCCACGTAGTCGACCACGGTTCGAGTCCTGGACCCGGTGGCTTAAACTCATGCCAGGTGTGCGTGCGTGCCCAAGATCCCAAGAGGAGAATGGAGGAGGAGGGACTGCGGCGTGGCCATCCCCCCGGGGGGTGATTTCTCGCTTTCTGTCTCTCTCTCTCTGTCTTTCTGGTGAGTGCATGCACCCTATAGCAAAAGCCTCTCCAAAACAATAAAATAAAATAAGAATTTTGGGGCCAGCAGATGATATAGCAGTTATGTCACTGGACTCTCACACGGCCTGCCATGGTTCAATCCCAGACATGGTGCCTTCAAATCACGCCAGGCATGTACGCGTGCATGCTCAAGTTCCCGGGAGGAGAATGAAGGAGATGGGATTATCCCAGCCCTTCAGAGGGCAATTTCTCACTTTCCTGGCTCATTATCTCTGTCTCTCTTTCTCTCCAGTGAGCACACATGCCCTAAGGCCAAAACCTCTTAGAAGAAAAAAACAGTAATTTTAAAACAATGTCACCTAATTAATACCAAAGGAAATAAGATGCCTAGGAATAACTTTTTTTAAAGAGAATTTTTAAACATTTTATTTGTCATCTATTTATTTATTTGTTGTGACTTTTTTTTTTATTTTTTTTTAGATTTTTGCTACAGGGCACGTGCGCTCCCTCGAGAGACAGACAGAAAGCGAGAAATCACCAGGGAGGAATGGCCATGCCGCGATTTCTCTCCATTTTCCTCTTGAGATTTTGGGCAAGCACCCACACACTCCCAGCGTGAGTTTCAAGCTGCCGAGTCTGGGACTTGAACCATGTTGGGTATGTGGGAGTCCAGTGCTTTAACCACTACGCCACCTTCTGGCCCCTATTTGTGATTTTCAAGCTGCCGGGTCTGAGAGTTGAACCATGGTCAGCCATGTGGGAATCCAGCACCTTAACCACCACACCATCTGCTGGCCCCAGGAATAATCTTTTTACAATTTGCCAGAGAGCATGTGTACTCACCAGAGACAGAGACAAAGAGGAGGAAAGCACCCCCAGTGGGGTGTGGCCACACCATAATCCCTTCTCTTCCATTTTCCCAACCTATAGAGATTCAGCGTTCACATGTACATGTGCCCAGCATGTTCAAGCCATAGGGACGCGGACTCAAATCATGGTGCTCCCTTAACCACCAGACCACGGGGCCAGCCTGGGGAGGATTTTTTTCTTTTTTTAAATTTGCTAGAGTCTTTGGTCACTCTGAAGCGGGGAACGGGAGGCGTGATGGTTTACATCTCGAACGGACAAGTATTGGAGCCGGAGTCAGTCCCCATGGAGGCCATCTTTGCTAACAGATTTTTTCTGATTCCAGATATGATGATGGAAGAGGGCCACCTGGAAACCCTCCCCGAAGAATGGGCGGAACCAACCATCTGCGTGGCCCCAGTCCCCCTCCAATGGCTGGTGGATGAGGAAGGGGAACGTGTGCTCTAAGAAGCAGGCGCTGGGCGTGCACAGGACGTGCGCATTCCTAAGCAGGAGGAAGCCACCAGGAAGGAGCGGTCTGACCACGCAGACAAGTGAGCTGAGTGCCCGTCGGAACAAGGACTGCTGTGTCCTCGCAGATGAGTGAGGTCGTGCTGGGCATCCCCTCCACAGGGATCCGGCCTGGCTGATGCGCAGTTCTATAAATGCACGTTTGTCTCATCTTTTTTGTACAGTTGATTAAAGTATTGGTAT